CTTTTTAATGAAGAAGAGTCGGCATGGAAAAACTAGAAGGGTTAGCTTAGTCACTTCCTGGGTCCCATGTATCAATGTAGGAGATGGATGGATCCTTGTGTTTCCAGAAAGGTTATGGGAGAGTTAAATCACATGCTAGAAGACGGCCTGTCAAAACTCAAACTGTCTGTCTTAGTAAACAACAACCTGCAAATCGGATGCAATATTTGCAAATGTTCAGAACACCTGACAATTACAATTCCAGTATCTTACTGTAGCTCTGTCTTGGTCTTTATATTTCAATTCTAGATGTTTACCAGCTAGATGCCACATGTCAGTGTGATGTCCCGTGCTGAGCAGGCAGCAAACAGTGGCTCAGAACTGTTCTGCCTAATGTGGCTTTAAGCTATTTCACGAGAACGCAAAACAAGGCAGTACATTTGTGTCGTAAAATAAAAAAATAATAAAAGAATCTCCACTTGAATCGACTGATAATGTTCTTTAGATTAATTTATTCAAGAAATAAATGGATTATACCAGCCTTAAATACATCTTTTATAACTTCAGTTTGTTTAATCTCAGCTAGATACTTTTGTGAAAGGGTTTTACGTTGAGCTGTTATGAGCGCAGGTCAAACACAGCTACCTTGGACCTGTCCATGTGACAAATTACTCTACAGTTAAACCTGACGGCTACTCTTGTGATTAACCTAAGGAGTACATTTCAGATGGATGGCCTCGCAGCACAAATAACAGCAACCTAGGGTGCTTCAGCCGCCTTTAAACAAAGAAGCTTAGATGTAATCTGGAGAGACTATTAAGAAGAGCAGCTACAACAACAGCTAAGCCCATTCTCCCCATATGGCATTTAAACAAGTATGGTCTGTAAACATGTCTGCCTCTTTGACAGCAGACATGATATTCAGCTCTGAGATGGAAGTGGATCGTGTCTTGGATGTGGGTACAACTTTATTTGATGTCAACTCTGTGGCTATAGCTGAAGCAGAGGAGCAGACATGAGGCCTGGGCTGAATTCCTGCTACACAGAGTCATTTTCCTGTGGTTCAGCACCAAGCATATAGACTGGCTCATTCTGTACATATGAGTCAGAGATTGACTGCTGTCATTTCATGCTTTCAGCCAGTGTGAGCTTATAGACCAAGAGACCCATTTTCCCCCTTTCAAATGTTGCTTATACCTCTAATGATAGGCTTAATGGTAGCTTTGGATTGATTAAGCAATAAGTCCAGAGTAAATTGGTCTACCAAGATGTTGACATAACCATTTGATTCACTGGGTTATGAGCGTGTTGCTGTGCAGAGTAAACATTTAAAGGGCCCTCCAAACACTAGCTCATCATCATGTGAGACCCATCTTCTTGTAGACTTGTCTCAGCAACACTATGGCAACCACAAAAGAGGTAAAGACTTGCAAAAATTCTTTATATGTAACTACAGAGCCATTTTTAATAGATGTCAAATGTGAAAAGCTAAGCCCTTTCAAACACTAAACAAGTTACATTTACAAGACACACAAAGCAAAGAGCTAGCAGGAATTACACACACAGCAAACAGCCCACTTAAACACTTGTGAAACAGTGAATACATTCCAGCTTTTACTTGTGTGGAAATCTACCACCTTTGTTCTTTAAACAATTAATATTTGGGTTTACTACACCTCACTTCACGGACAAGGTCACATGTGACTCTCTTATCACGACAGAGGCCTTGCATCACAATTAGCCTAAGTCTATTTCCAAGATCAGCTCTTGGCTCCAGGGATTCATTAAGCAGAGACTTCAATGGGAGCTTTTCATTTAATAGAAAATGCCGCCAGTAAATGTTGTTTATTTGAAAAGTGGTACCATGCGTAAAAAAATTAAACTGAATTAAAATATCCGACTGGAAATACTGATATGTATGCTGGTGAATTGTGGTCTGATATCACACACATTTAAGCCTAACCCTAACTTTTAAAAAGGACCTTTTCTCGTTGTTTTCAGGTTGCTGACAGTAAGCAGGATGTCTAAAAACACCACTAAGCTTAGACATAATAAAATGAGTTAGTTTTCTATTAAACACATTGAAGTTTACAGTTCTTTCTTGACAAAACAATCTCTGCTCAAGGTCCACTTCCTCACTTGTTCCATGTACCACTGGTTCCTGGAGGTTTTGACTCTCAGTGGAAACTTTTTTTATATTGTACAAAAAAGTTAATGGGAGGGAATTGCTTCTTTTATTTGGAAACAGACGGCCTTTATATCTTTCATTATTACCGTAAGCATACACAAAAAGAAATAGAGAGAGGGTATCGCACATTGATCTTTTTTGGTAGTGTCCAAAATGTGCCGGTGACACCAAGTTGCGGCCAGGTACTCACAATTATAATGAAATGCTTTGTCAGGTTCTTGGACTATTCCAAACTGAGGAAGCGGGAGTCAACAAGACATCCTAGTAGTGTCTTGAAAATCTTTAGAATAATACAAGTTTTTATATATTACGAAAACTGTATCGGAATTCAAATTACTGCCAGATAAAACGTCAGGCTTCTTCATCTCAAAGCCCCGGCCTGAATTTCCTTCCCAGTACATCCCTGCTGTAGCACTCATCCGTATTCTCTGTGTGGTTACACAAATATGGTCTGCTCAGATGTTTGAGGTCATGAGTCAATATTTCAAAGGAGGCTTTTCATATCGCACAGCATGGACCCAAATTAAAATACTGTATGTCCTTGATAGGAAATTCAAGGGTTTTAGTTAGGCGTACACTGAATGTGGTGGAACACGGCACAAGACTTTAATCCAAAAGGCTCGCCACTGCTACCCAGGGCTTGCCTGTTGATTAAACATATTAGGAGTGGAAGGTAAACAGTCCGGCTGCCATTCCCTCACGCCTAGGTTGAGGGAAGACTTGCTTTGCAGTAATTCTTAAACTAAAAGTGTCAGGTGTTTATAAACGATGTATGATTAGGTGAAAGGAATGATGATCAGCAGCAAAGTACACTTAAATGTTGACTCATCAGCATTGGTTACCACTGATATGTTAGAGAAGGCTACTGAGAGGGGTGACGAGGTATTATCCTTATCATCTGCTAATCAAACCAAAGTGAGGTCATCAGAGTCACACAGTGCCACTCACATCAATGCCAACAACTCACATTAAGCCAACAGCCATCAGAAACGTCTGAGACACATTCGGGTTTAAATGGCAGTAAATAACACTAAATGATGTGATTAGAGCACTAAATTATTTTAAAGCTGGAGGGCTTCCATCCCACCATGAGCTAAGACATCATGCTTGGCAGCAGGGGTGAGGAAGGGAGTGAGTGGGGGAGTTCCTGACATGCTGTGAGGATCTGCTTTTCTGACAGCCAGTCTACGAAATCCTCAAGTTAGACAGGTGGATTTGTTTTCCTTCTTGAAAGCATAATAAGGATTAGTTTTGTACAACATATTTTTGGATCGTAATTGTTCCTGACGTTTAGAAACCCATATGTAAGAAGGGAAACGTCAATGCTCTGACATACGTAAGCAAATCTAAAAGCAGTCGTGATTAAGGAGAAGGTCCAAATCCCTCTGTTGTGTTATGTCAGACTTCACTGCCCCAAAGGCTTCTACCTCCAGCGCAAAATGGGATTCATCAGCTTCTGACAAGCAGCAATCACACCCCAACACTACACAGCAGCACACAATGCTTTGACTTCCACCTCAACTTGATCCACTTTCTGTAATGGGCTTACAGGCTAAAAGAACTCTGCAGAACAAGATCATTACATAACATGCTCAACATTAGCAAAAGCAAAGCCCTGAACCAGAATAAAAGCAGCAAAGAAAGGTTAAAAGCAAATTCAACAATCAATCAAGCTGCTCTAAGAACCTGCTTTCTAAAGTCACATTAGCAGCTAATGTTCATGAGAGCAGTGGAACAGGCAACAATCACGTTTGACCCACATCTTACCAGCTCTCAAATTTCACCATCACTGCACTGTTCTTCCATTTAGGCCTTTATTCACTGCCTGGGGAGCTTTGTGCAGAAAAGTGTCTCCTTCAGCGACAAATATTTGATAGCAACAATAATGGTCTGTGTAATCATTTTTGTAGTGCAAGTTAATATGGTTAATAATTATTTAAGATAAAGATTCAACTTTATTGAATATACAAGTAATAAGACAATGACATTTAGTTTACATCCAATGGGTCTTCTTACAACTATTCCCCATTAGTCAGTCAACATATTGTTGTAAGTTTTAGTCAACCATCAGCATCAACACTTTTCCTTCTCCTATTAACTGACTTGAAAGCTCTTCAAAGTCTGGAGGATCTTTCAACAACACCAGGAATGTGCTGCATTCCCTCTCAGGTAACATAATTGTTGACAGACGCTGGTTGACACTTTATGATGTGACAGATGTTTCAAAAGGAGCTGGCATGCTGGGCACTTAGAGCTTCAGTAGTGAGCCAGCGCATGGACTCATAAAGTTAGGAAAAACTGCAATAAAAACAATCATTTAACTGCAGGTGTAACTACAACAATTAAGGAATTGTACAGAAGCATTGGAATGGACCTAGGCTGCTGAATAAGAAGGCTAAAGTACAGTAAACGTTTAATATGTTGTGTTTGAAGTCAAGGGAGCCCAAATGAGACGTGTGGATTTCAGCATGGTGTAAGGAAAGTTAAAAGCCTCAGAAACTTGAAACTAGTTTTTTTTTTTTTTAAAGTTAAATTTGAGTGTCAATAAGTTCACTATCCCGTTGAACTACACTTTGATAAGGGTTGAAAAGTCTTTGATATGTGTTACCTCACCCTCTAATCACTCAGTATTCAAGCATTGCAACAGATGCAAATCTCTTGTGCCTCTAACACAAGTTTCTTTTTGGTCGGAATAGCCCTTTTCTCTGAACAACAAAGGACATGCGTGCTGGACAAACAGCACCCACCAACACACAGCTGTCCCGTCCCAGGACAGCGAAGCATGGAGGGAACAAAGAGCAGACAGATGAAAATGTTTTTTTTTCTCACTTACCAAAACGGTTGCAAATCTTTCCTCCAATTCACTAGGCTCGGGCATGGGTAGTTTCAGAGGCATGTTATGTCCCCTGAAATCAGTGTGCTGGTCCATGCTCCCTGCGTTCCCCATGTTTGTCCAACAACTAGCCTACAAGTTTTCTCCCTCCTTTTTCACTTGAGAAATTCTCCGCACGGCGAAAATAAACAAAAATATCCTCAGGTGCTTTGGTTTTGTCACTCTTGCAGATTTCTTAGAGGTTTATATCCTGTTCTTCAACATAAAGCACATGTGAAGGAGGCAGCATAAAGCGACGGGTCCGAGCAGCAGCAGCAGTGGCAGAGCCCCTGGTGAGGCATTTTCACGGCGGAATGAGGAGCCCTGGAAACTTCCACACGGACCTTTCTTCGCTGTTATCCGTATCTTGCACAATTTCGGCTCCACTCCCAGCCGGTAGTAATGACGACAAGCATGATTCACGCTTTTTTGCAATCCCCCCCGTCTCCCCGTCTGTTAGTAGTGAGTGGAACTGCTTCGATAATCCCTCCGCTGCTGACCAGCTAGTTAAGGAGGAAGGGGCTCCACAAACACACAAACACACACACACACTCACAGCACACACACCACCGCTGCACACAAACTCATCCCTCCCTACAATGAGTCCTTTCAGGGGGCAAGCCTCCGACTTCTTCTCGGGGCGTAGTTCCCAAAGCCGTCGCTAAGGAGATGATATTTTTTGAGTTGCATTGTGGTACTTCGAGTCCATTGTGAGAGAACTTTGGTCCCCCCCAGGATAGTTACGGCTCTTTGAAGGGAATTCATTATGTACTCTTCATGTAGGTCATGAGCTTTTAGTCAATGTATTTTTAAATTATGTTAAAGCGGTACATTTGTTGCCTTTATGAATAAATGAAATATCAAACTTACATCAACTTCATTTTAGAGTTGATGATGTGAACGTTTTTTTTCCCCAGAGTAGGCCTGGCTTGTGAATTGGCAGTCTACTCTAGCCCTATCTTTAGGGACCATAACACTTTATTTTACTGTTGTTTTTGTATCACTTTACATATAGCCTACAATAAACACTTTGACTTTGCCATGGCACAGGTGTAGCTCACACAACATGAATTTAATGTCCCAGTTAGCTGGGGCATCGACCTATAATGTGCACCAAAACCCTGGAACTAGCACACCTGATTGTAATGAAGCAATAATGATAATTATTGGTAACACAAGTGTTCTGATGTGAATTGTCTGGCAATTTATTTAGCATTACAATCTATTTTCTAGATTTGTATTCTATAACCAGAGGAATTTAATCTTTGATCCTTTTCACAAAAGACAGTGATGTTTAAATGTCTACTGTAAAAAAAAGTCTACTATATTATAAAATACTATTATTCAAAGTTATCAAAGCAATATTTATCAAGTGACTGTAATCAATAATTTCCGTGGTTATGTAAAATCTCTTAAATGATTGCATGACAACAATTGTATGATGACAAAGCTGACTCCCTTAACACTCCCTTAAAGATCTCAACATGGAATGGGATGAAATCTGATCTGCTGACAGGGTGGGGACCACATTACGCACAAGAGGATGACATCAGCATACAGCGCTCTGGAGGCGATCCAGAGGTTCTCCAGATGCACAGTGGTTTTATTCAGGCTGCTGGACTGATTCAACGGGGGATGGTGTGTCACATCTGAGGTTGCTTGCTTGAGACATGGAGGATGCAAAACACGGTTGATTGAGCTCATACTTACGTGTCCCAAGTTAAACTTATTTGCTCAGACTCCTCCCCTTGTGTTGTATGATGTGTAGAACATGTGTATGCACTTACTGGGTTATATTTACTCAGAGGATGCTGCTCATTATGGTGTTCATTCAAATTTGGTATGAAGGAAGAAGCTTGAAGATTAGAACAGATTCCTACAAATGCAAAACAACATAGGACCAGTATTTGGATGGGAAGAGTTTGTAAAGAAACATCCAGCATTTTAGCTTTAATGAAAACTGACTGGGCTCATTTGATTCAATGTCGTAAAGATCAATTTGTAACCGCGGCCGCGCACACAGCTTCTTTAAATTGCATCTGTGGAGTTTTTGCTGTTTGATCAAGTTGAGTTAGAGGGCAACTTTGATCAGTAGAACAGCTAAACTTTAGGCCGTGTGCGCGGCCGCGGTTACACACATTATGTCATCTTAATGAGTAATGTTTATTTGTGTGCTAGCGTATTACATGACATATTATTAGTTCTAATGCAGTTATTTATATCTTACAGACATCTGTGTACGTTTTTCTTGGGAACACAAACTCATGTAATACACTTTTCTCATAATTCCAGTCTCTGTGAATGTGTGGTTAAGCAGTGCATGATTTAAGATAGACAATTGATGGTATGTGCTGCCGTACAAGCACCACAGCTGATAACGACTCACAGCAACATAAACGTTATTCATTGACAGCAATCTGGCCAGTACAGTTAATATCTATTTACATTTATATATGAAGCATTTACCAACAGACTCATGAGGTTTTTGAATGTATAGATTGAGGGGGCACCTTGCAGCTGCATTTCCAAGATGTCTAGGGGAATATGAGACTCCAGATATATCCACAAGGAAATATAAAATGCAAAGGAGATGCCAGAAATAAAGACAGCACAATCAAAGCTCTGTGTGAGGAGGCTCAGGGGGTTCTATTGGCTGCTCATTTGAGTTAACATCTGTGAAATGAAGTTCTCTTAAGAGAAGACTCATGGAGTTATGGCCCTCAAAAGGCTGGAGTGGAGCAACAAATGCGTCTTTGTTTCTTAAATTAAGGGCTGGGGACTTCAGTGATGAAGTAGATGCAGATGTAGCTGAGCAAGACGTGGTCCTGTAAATCTTCAGAGCAACAATGCCCTCTAATGTATGGAGAGTGTATTGCCCACTCTGGGTAAGACCGCTGTCTGCAAATCACAACTTTTTCAAGAGGATAAACAAATCAAATAATTATTGGCTTGGTGACGTTACATCTGGAAACAATGAACCCTGATTCCAACATCATACATTAGTGGCCTGAATGTATGTGCACATGTTGTTACACATATCACAATCCAGTCTAGGAACAATTATTTTTGAGTCAGGCCTTTAATTGATTTGTTTTACACCAAAGATGTGGAGGTTTAAAAAAGATTTGCCCTGCACTGTGTAGCGCAGTATATATGAAATATGAATATTATAGGTCTACACATAAACATAATACCAAAGACTGAGTATCAAACTATATTTATTGTATACAGTATAGGGACAACAAATAATGTACAAATCAAAAGAAATATGTCCATGTCACCCTGCAAAACTAAGTGGACATGATATTTCTACTAACACACGAGTCCAACAAACTAAGCAACTGTTTGGATACATTTTTGACAAATATTTTAAAATTGGCAGCAAAGTATTGCCTGAATAGTTTATACATTAACTGAAATATATATTGTTAGGTGAGATACGCATTTTTCTTCACTGGCAAAAATGAAATATTAGTTTTCTAGAGTCCTGAATAGTTGGAAAGAAATCACCGAGAGAACTGTTCTGTTGCTGTGTGACAACAAAGACCACCGTTAGAGACAGTAACCCTTTACATCTACATATTATATATTAACCAAACCCTTTTATAAAAGAATATTGATTTAGCCTTTTGGTCCAGAAACATTACTGTACTTTATTTAACATTGAGTTGAGGGTGACCATATTGAGGTAAAACATCCATATGGATCTGAAGTTGCATTTGTCTTGGGCATGGATACATCAACTAAAAAAAAGACAACTTTATTACATATGCTGCACCTGTTTACAAAGAATAACCACAAGCTCCCCTCCAGCAGTTTTCCTCCATAGCAATCCTATCAAGTAAATGAACTAAAAGTAGTTGAGCCCCCCCTGAATTTAAATGCTCACAACAATCTGGAAATCTTAAAGAAGAAGAAAAAGCAAGGTTTTGGCTTGTAGTTTAGCTTATGGTTTATAGACATGCGTGAGGTCATTTCAACATCAAAAGTATGCAGTTGTTTTCCCATTACGAGCCATATCTGATCTGAGACCTGTCCCTGGGCAATTTCAAATCATCCATTAATGTGAATAAAACATGTTTCTAAATTACCCTGCATCTTAAAGTTGATTTTTGGCCCAAAATGCAAAACCTTCTACCTTCTTCTATGTTGTGAACAGCCTGAACAAGCAGAGTGAGAAAAAAAGGAGAAACAAATACAACAGGGAAGAACTGGTGTGGATGTTCTTTCAAGAGTCCAGGTCCAACTTAAGAAAAGACTCCCCCGGTCTGTTGTTGAAATACATCAATAGTGTCCTCGTCCTCCATCTCCAGCTGTAATAACAAAACATATATATATATATATATATTACTCTACAGCCAATGCACAATATGTCTCCTTAGAAGTAGAGCTTGGTATCAAACCCTCAATACTTCTGCTTTGTTTTCTGTAATTCCTGTTTCAAATGAACATTTTTAGACAAATATATTAATGTTATTTTGGGGATGGCTGCTAGTTTTTAATATTTATATTTTGGGCTGCACAACATATTGTTTTACATTGACATTGTGCACACGTGCTATAGTCCCATCATCGGAAGTGCAATGTCAGCAAAGTAACATGTGTCATGACAAAAGGAAAACTCTTATGTATCATTTTTCTTTACTTATCCAGTCTTTTCCAATCATTTCCTACAGTCTAGGTGCTACAATTTCATAATCAAACAGGTATATTTCTACATTTCTCAATTGGCAGTCCTGCATCTGACCAGGTGAATCAAATTGATGGTTCAGTCAGCTGCTGGGTGTGTTGGTTTGGAAGGCCTGAAGTGTAACACCCCAGCAGGGAGGGACGGTGCGCCATACACAACTGTAAAGTCAGTTTTTCTTATATTGTGCAGCCATACTGTGAATGATGAATATTCACTCATTTATCATATCCATTGTTACAATACAAGACCAGCTTTTACTAACCTGTGAAGGTGTGTCCGTTTCATTAATTGGCTGCCCATCAAACCTAAACCTTATCTGACGAATTGACAGTCCCTGTAAGACAAAACAAACAGGAATGAAATATTGCACCCAGTAGCTATAAACCAAAAATATAAACAACAGTTCCATTGTGATGGTTATTAAGTCAAGGTTCAATTTAACGACAGGTATATGTTTCAGTCTTTCAGAATAAACGTACCTGTCTTTCGCAGTAGGCTTTCATTAGTTTGCTGAGAGGGGTATGCCTTTTAATTTTGAACTGTACAACTGACCCATCCTGACCAGCTACCTTGAGGTTTATGTGTTCATTCTCCGTCTTCACTCCCTCCTGCAACAAAAAAACACTCATTAGCCAAAAAAACTGAGATATGATGAGTTTATCCAATATCCACTCCCACATGATGCTAATGTTTATTTAGAGGGGGTCGAAAAGTGCTGCTAGTGAATCCTGACGACGACCCCCATTACACTCACATAACATGATGACGAATTAAAACCATCATGTGGGAATGTATTGAAAAGTGTATTTAATTTAGATCATAATCATTTAGGAAGACAACACTGCTCAGTCTTCCCGTTTCCAACCTCTACCATGGATGTATTTATGGTTAGTACAAGCAGCCACTGACCGCCATCATTTACCGTTAACCTGCCGGTGACCGGTAGCATAGTATGAGGTGACTCTACAACAACAGCAAACTCATGTTAGCTTCCGTTAAAGTTTCAATAGAAAGAGCATGGTCGTAGAGACAAGCTTCGTCGTTTCAACTCCAACCCACACACTCACCTTCATAACTCCATATAATTATTCATCTGTGTGCATCTCACAAATGTATTAATATCAACAATAAGCAGTATGTATTCTACATCATGTCGTTGCCTTTATTTACATGTATATAGACTTCTGCATTCACATAAAACCTTTTCTGCAACATTTAGCTAATGTTTTTTTTTATTTTACATGTTAATAGTTGTATTTTCCTGCATGACTTGCACACTGGTCTTGCAACATGATCGTGTACCATTTAGTTATACTCTTTCTTCTTGCAATATTGAGTATAGTTGTATTTCATATACAGTATATTTATGTTGGATGGTTGGAGGAGCCTTAGATTTAACTTGTAATTGCTATAACTACACTGTAGCTCCCGTGCACATGACAATACAGCATCTGACCCTTTCAGTCTGGAATCATTTGTGTCCCCCTGTGGTTAGCATAGCAAGCTAGTCCATGTTCAAACTGGCGCTGAAAGCCACAATGGCGCAAAGGGAAAACACAAATCATTCATTTCACTTGCAATCTCCGAAGCCAACGTTAACAAACCCACACTCAATGTAAGATTAAACAACTGAGAAACGTTAGCTAGCAGTAGCGGATGCTCATACTGAGGGGACAGTGCAAACAAAGCGCTGTTCGACAAAAGATCCGCTATTTGGTCAACCTTTGTTTTCTCCGTCGACCCGCTCAAATGCGGAGTCTGTAGCCTGGAAGCAGCTAGCGTTAGCTTAGCTGAATGTGCTAACGTTAACTGGAAACTGGCACCATTAGCAGTCAACAGAAAACACGAACAAGACGTTCCTTCGAAGAGATAGAGAAATGTTACAAACCTTTGGCTTCTCTTCAGACATTGTGCTGTTTTACCGGTGGTTTACTGATAACGCAGAAGAAGGCTGTTAACTGTGAAGCGTGTTATCAGCTCCTCCGGCTCTTTCGTCTGGACCAGGAGCGCGCGCGTAGTGTGATTTGAAATTTAATTCGACAAAAAGGGGTCACGTGCTTCACGTTTATTCGTGAGCGCGGATACGTGAGCTAATTTGCGCGTTCCCGCGAGATAGGGAAATCAAAAGGGCCCTTTTGCATTTGACCGAAGATCCAAATAGTTATAACAACATTTGCATTGGGACTCAGAAACAAAACACAACAAACCAAGAAGAACACATTGCTCTCAGGAACTGCAACATGAATGAATAGATAGAGAAAAACTTGCAGAATATTAGTTTCCTCTGTGAAGTGAGAGATAGATGAAAGCACACATATGAAATTACTTTCCACTGGGTTTAATAGTTCCATTATTTCTCTCAGTACAGAACAGTTTCATTTGAATCCTCTTTTTTCTGTAAAAGTGTTTGGGTAAGGTGTCAGGGACATTTGTAAACTATGGAAATTGATTTACTTTTCAGTCACAAAAGAAAATTCAAATGTGTTTATGTTATAAATCGTAGTAATAATAATAAAACATGTTATTTATATAGCACTTTTCCTGGTGCTAAAAGCACTTAAAGCAAGTCAAATGGTCCCAAATGGTTTCAAACAAAAGCTGCACAATAATCAAATCACTCGCATGTAGTTCAAGAAAACACATTTCTTTCATCCATTAAGTCACATGTTATAAACGTTTTATATAAAAATAAATGTTGTACTTTCAGAACAGATCAGTAAAATAGTGCGTATTACAACTAAAATGAAACTGCTGTTATTTAAGAACCACAATTGCTCTGAACTTTTCTTGAGTTGTACAAAACTATACTGCATGTTATGCAAAAATAACACAGTGATTTTGTATAGCTTGTTGGACAATATGCTTTGAACTGAATAGAATATCATATTATGAAAAGACAAAAGAAATATCAACCTGGTTTAACAGCAGAAAACAATGTGCATAAAATATGAAATATTAGGTGAAGGAAACTGTGTAAAATATGGTGCACACTTATTCAAAAATAAATTCAGAACATCTTGGTGAAATTTTTTGACAAACACTGAAATGAAATCAGATCATCACAGTTTCATATCTTAATGTTATTGGCATCAATAAGATCAACTTAAGGATTTTTGGTGGTGGAATCATCGCTGAGAATCTTCTTAATGATCGTCCATACGGGCGTATGGGTTTTCCTTTGCAACACCTACAAATACAAATAAAGAACAAATCATATAAGCATGTTATGGCTTCCAGCATAGCACTGTATTGAAAGAGTTTTGAAAGTTGGATGCAAATACAATTTTCTAAAAGCAAACATATTTCTAAATTGCTTGTTTTCCCCAAAAACAATTTAAAATAAAAATGTGGAAAATAAATGTACACTGTTTATGCAGAGTCATTTTTATCCAGTAGATGGGGCTAATGTACTACATTGGTTGTTTTTACATAGCTTCTTTCTCTTGATTTGTGATGACTTAAATGCTGTTTTCTTGTTTTATCGGCTCAAATGCTGTTATCTTTATCTCATGTTGTCTCTTTAAATTGTATCCCATTATACATTCATTTTGCAACAATCTTTTTTTATATTCAAAAAGTACATTTATTACCCACTTAAACTGCACAAACAAGGAAAGAGTCTCACCATATTTTTGCCTGATCTCGTCATGTCTCATCTGCATTTCTGTCCTCCTGTAGGGAGAGAAACAAAGACAAATTGTTGGACAACAGAGAACAGTGGATGCCTTCACATCTACACATTTTGAATTCTCAATGAGGATCAAAACAAAGTACTACTGTAGAGAGCTGTAGTTTATACCAAAAACCCTATTTCACATTTGATATAGAAATATTGATATTAGAAATACTATTAGTTTTCTTTAAAAGTCCTTATTAATGTTTTTTATCAACATAATGATGTGGACAGTCAACAAAATGTAGTGCAGGAGACTCACTCTTATGTTAGTTGTTTTGTTATATCTACAGTATAATGACAGTACCAGTAATAAGGGTCTCTATTTTATCTTTTTTTAAATCCCGTCCTTATAGCCATTTACTTTGCTTTCTGACGGCTCTTCCTTGCACGGGTTTGTCGCTCAACCTTCGCGTCTTCTCTCTTGTGCCTAAAATAAAAGAATATGTGATTATACATATATATGCATTGCAAAATAAATGACAATAGTGAGTCTGATGTGCTTTGCATTCAGCCTAATACAGCACGTAATGGAGCATGCAACAGTTAATCAGTCTTATATTTCAAATGTATATCCGTCTCTTCATCATCCAAAAGCCATTATTACATTAACAAAAGGCTAGACCACTTTTAAATAGAAATATTCATGTTTTTTCCTCAAAACTAAGCTGCAGCTACAAATTCTGGCAGGCTTTTGGAGACGGCGGTATCAGCCTGGCCTCGCAGAAAATCAACCCATTGTGTTCCCCCGTCCTCCTCCTGCCATGTTAAACCACATTTCAGAGCCAGCACTTCACATGGCTTAATGCTTACCCAACTCTTTCACACTTGCAGCAGCAGAAGCAGCAAACCAGAATGCTGATGATGATGACGCCTCCCAGCACTGACATGGTGATGATCAAAATCTGGAAGTTTACTGGAAATAAAAAGGAAGATACTCATTGAAAAAGGAAGCACTGAATATGAGTCAATGCATCGCAATAGACACTACAGCTCCGGTTGGACAAAAGCAGTTGGGCTCTTAGTAGACCAGAACATTGTCGTCATTTAAAAGTGGGTTATGGGTCTTCTGTGGAGAATTGGCACTATAATCATTCATTCAATCAGTATTATTTAAAAGTACTAAACTAGTCGCATACATTTTTTTAACTATTGGTAAACAAAACAAAAGTAGTATTTGTCTGATATATGTCATATACTAGGACTGTAATTATTTGTATTATTGATTATTATATGGATTGATTAATTGTTTGACTTCTAAAATATCATAAAATAGTCATAAATGCCCATCAGCATACCTGAAGCGTGAGTTGAGGTCTTACAATGGCCTGTTTAAAATTGATTTTACTATCAAGTAAAAAAACAAAGTTGTTTGTCATTTCTATTTTGAAAAATGATCTGGACAATATATTGATATTGCGATAATAATTGAAGGACACAGCCACATCAGGTTGGCATTAATGGTGATCTGAGGCCTTGGTTGACTTAGCCTTTTTTCACATTTAAGTGTAATGTAAACGTAGGGAGTCTTACCCCAACACAACCCCCATCGTGCATCATTCAGTGGACACACACTCCTGGGGGGCAAGATGTTCCTCACTGGGTAGTCCAAGCATTGTTTAGTTGGTGTACACCACAAACACTGCAACAAAAACTGTGCTTAGGGTCATATTGTTGGTCATAGTATTACTAACAACACTGAAGAAGGTTACTTGCAAACATTTCCCAAATTGGGATCAATAAAGTACTCCTTATCTTATCTTATCTTACTATCTGTGTTTGGCTGGAGTTGAACATACTTACTGTTACATTCTGCAGACATTCAGAGCAGCTGGTGTTGGATCTCAAGGCACAGGGAACTGAAACTGAGACAAGTTACAGATTGTTATACATATAGTAGGTTATAGGGCCTCCTAGTGACCTTCCTTTTATGGTGTAAGTTCAAGCAGTTGTATAAATGGCCTAAAAAGAAAGGAAATCAAATCTTACTGGAAGTTAACATTTCTGGCCACTGGGAAAAATCCTCAACAGAGTTTACAGTGACACACATTCACATTACAGAGAAACTTAGTTAAAGTTTGTTTGGAAGCCATCACAATGAATTAAGATGGTAATCTTTGCTCATAATCAATTTTCTGTTATCATGTGACCACCCCCTGACCCAGTTGTTACTGTACACAACAAAGCACAACGCCTAAGTCTTAAATAAAATTTAAAAAACTCTTACTCGTGTTTGGAGCAGGAGTCGAAGTCTGCGCCTCCGTGGTTATAAAAACACCGAAGAAAATGAAGGCTAAAATAAAGGCTGAAAGTGTGTTAACTCCGGCCATTGTGGAGCGAGTGGGAGCTCGTGCGGACTGCGAGAAACAACAGCAACACTAACCTCTCAGTCCGGAGGGTGGACCCCTCTGACGTCATCAACCGCTGACGCTCGTCTCATGAAACAGCTGCAAACATATTTTAGTGATGCCAGGAAATAAGTTTATTGGTTGTATATATGTAAAAGAGAGGAGATTGTCGAAACAACAGCATTTTTTAAAACAGCAAAAAAAAAACGTTCCAAGGCAGTGTAACTTCTCATTTGCTTTTCCTTTGTTAAACTAGTGAACAGAAAAGCAACTGCAATTGTTTATGTTTTTCATTTTTATTTGACCTTATTAAATGACCAAATATGAGGCGAACCTCTCGGAAGAAATTTCCAAATAAAAGCCCTCGTTTGGTGAAGGACACTTTAAGATAGATCAAGGTTTTTAGAAATCATTGGAATTACAAGAGGCCGTTGAGCTTTATAAATGATCATTTAATTTCTCCTGTGCATATTATTAATAATAATACTGCAACTACTAATACTACTACTATTTTACTGATCACCAGGGGGAAATTCATAGAGCTACATAGCAGCACATGCAGTAAGTATAATTAGTCCCAAATTGACCAACCAAAACATTAAAGTGATTAACATCATAAATGCATCAATAGCTATGAAAACACAATATAACATAATAATACATTATTCTGAATGGTATTTTACTTTTAGTAGAGTTCTCCACAGCATGATGATCCAGTACAGTTAATAAGATGTCTCTTATGTATGCAGTATATTAAAATCATGCTTATTTTGGAACAAACCTCTGCTTAAATTTTATGCTGCGTTCAGGTCACATCGCTCAGACCGCCCCCTTGACAAAGAGAGGTACAGAAGAAAATACTTGGCTGGCTCAAAACATTAAAATAAATCTCATTAAACAATAATGGAACAATTTCAGATAATTTGACAATAATAAACAAAACACATTTTTCAAATACAATAATTTATTAAAGCATCTTTAAATTCTGATATAAAACATTTTTCTGATTTTTCTTCTTCAAAATAATCAGAAATCTCAGAAATACAGTCATCGTCAATGGCAAGATCAGTCTCTGGTGTGGCCGCCGGCAGCTGACCAGATCTCCCAAGTGAATACGATTGGAGAGTGATGGAAGACGGTAATGCATCGTGAGGTAAATACTAAGCTCGTAATGTTTGGATCATACTCATGAACTATACTGTAAGCTGACTGGCATCCTTTGTGTTCATTTACTTGGAAGAGAGAAACTATTTTATAAGATTAACAGAAGGAATTGAGCATGTTTGGTGTCGAGGGCAACACACGAAACTTTGTTTACGTTGACAAAAGATAAGAAACAGGGCACAAAATGAAGAAAATCAATAGTTTTGAACAACGTGTTTGAATCTACATGTCTTTGTCTCAGAATGCACCACTAAAAGAGAAACAAAAGTACTATGACGACTGCATCAATACATTTCCAGCATGCCAATAACCTCACTCAGACTGTTACGCTCCCAATCCATTGATACTTCCATACATAAATACACCCACCCAAACATGGCCTTTGACATCACTGAAAAAACACAGTTAAACAATCTTTAGACACAGACGTACTCAACAAGCAATATCCTACTTGTTTCTAAAAACACATCCTGGAACATCAGTTTCAGCAACTTAACCTAAAGTCTGCACACAACATACACAAAGTACTTTTTCTAGGAGAGAAGCGCAAAATTGTTTTACTTATTTTAGTTATTGTGTCTTATGACAAAATACTCGACTGCAGTGGTTATAGATGTTGCATCTCCACTGATGCAGTGGTTCATGTGGAACTTCCTTCTTTTTGTATTTATTAGGGATGTGCTTTTGTAGCACATGCAGCGGTGAAAGCCATAACTACAACTGAATCTGCACTCAATCCTTCAGTCCAGAATAATAATGAAAACTTAAATAAGGCAAGGGAGATAATCTCCCAACAGTTGTATAACACAATAACCTGAGGGAATCTCCATTTAGGAGAACATTCATTACAATTGGGCGCAACATCTGAGAGGACAACAGTCAGTCTGCCAATGAAACACATTCTTTTATCTAGTTTGGATTTATGTTGTACACTTTTGGATTCAGAAGTCGAATAAATATCTGTCAGACAAAGGGGTAGGGTCTTTTTCATTTGTTTTTCTTTCAAATCCACAAAAATATACATGAATATACATTTCAAGAGGTGAGAAATGACCAGTGTAACTAATGAGAGGGAGTATCATGTTTGGAGACTGTATGGAGGTTAGCAACACGGGACGAGTGTAAAGCTTAAAATGGTGCTTAGCTTGAATGTTGCCACGTTTGCCACAAGAGCCTTTTCTGTCTCTTTGTGGAAATGAATATCTCTGGATGGAGTTGTTTTCTGCGTTGCTACGTAGACGGGGAAAACATCTGAAACACAATCTCTATCGAGGAGATTCTTTTTAATGGTGCCGTCTCCTCCTCTTCTCTCGGGTTATCCGTCGGGTGTACTTTATCTGAACATGTTTTGAATCCTGTCAAGTCCATCACCTGATCCAGTTAGTCCCATAGCTGGACACAGACTTCACACTGCAGCGCTTCTTCACAATCATGTTTATGTAGGCTTTCATGATCTTTGTGATCTCTCCAACCTGTATAGATGAAACACAAAATCAGAGAAGATAAGCAAATTCTGAAATCCTGTTCCCTCAAACACACACAATCTTATCTGTGGGAAATATGGCGTACCTGGGGTGTTTCAAAGAGCATTTCTCTCTCATCCACGGTGATTTTGTAGGTGCATGGCTGCGGAGCGCCAAAGAAAACAATGTGTTCATATGGATAGGTCTCTAGAGGCTTGGGCTCTCCTCTCTTGAAGACAGACACATTTTCAGCGCTCACACTCAACCAGAGGTCATGAGGGAAGCCTCCTTCTTTGCACTAGAAAAATACACAAACACAGGGATATATAAACTTAAGGCAGTATATGCAATGGGCTGGCAGGTAACTACAAACTGATCTGCTGGACCAGTGTCAAGGCCTGTATGCAATTATGTCCTGAAAATGTAATACATTTGCCCTTATCCTGATCAAAATGGTTTTTAATCCAAATTAAAGGAATTGTTGGACCTACCTGTCTGTTCTGACTAATATATTTACGAATAATATATTACCTTTCAGATGGGGCGTTCTTTCCCAAAACTAGTATTGTAATCATTTTAACTGAAAATCTAAGAATGAGGATGCTCTTTGTAAAGTGTGCAAGCTTACAACATGTATTATACTCTTATGAGTTACCATTGACACTTTTATGTTTGGCTTTATGTTGAATTTGACATTTTCAACAGGATACAAGTGGCATTATACATTGTTATGTGGCAATGATGTGTTAAACTGATGATGAGGAAACATGTTACCACAATATAGGCAGGACCTTTCTATCACAATATTGAACAAGTTATTTCATTATGAGGGTTATTACTTTTTTCTATTAGGTTAAGTGCAAATAACACTTTTCAGGCTTCAAGGCTAAAACTGATGTTCTTTAACACATCTAGTATAAGTTGCGTTAACTTACCTCAACGTCAAACAGTGTGGATCCATATCCAGGCCACTCCTTGATGATGGTCATGTATTTGAGCATGGCCTGGTGCTGGTCCACCCCGGTGTGGCGGGACCACTTCTCCACGATGCTCGCCCTGGTGGCAGACGTCTCCTCCTTTATCCACATCTCCAACATCTGCTCCTCCTCCATGCGCTGCTTCTTCATTGAGCCGGTCTTCAGCCCCCGTCGCAGGGTCCCGTCCAGGAAGCTGGTCCTCCGACGCTCCAGAGTTTGGCCTGTCCCCGAGGTTGCTCCCACCTTGGTGAACTGGAGGATGCGGTTGCGTAGGCGACCCACAGGGTAGACGTTTTCCAGAGTCCAGGTGACCTTCGCTTTGTCACCGAACAGAAACTGCAGGCGCAGAGCGGCCAGGTGCTGCAGGGTCTCCTCTCGGGAGGGGAAGTGGCCGCGGGTCAAACTCTCGTGGGCCTGAAGAGAACAGCATCATCATTAGCACCGACTTGTGAATGAACCTTTATAAAAGGTGTATGAAGAAGATTAAAACACACCTGCTCAAACATGAACGCAAACTCCACCCCCTCTTTAGGCATGCTCTCCACATCCAGGAAGCAGTAAAGCTTGAAATAGAGTTTCCATTGGCCTTCATCCTCAGCTTCCTCACTGCCAGCCAGTCTGTTGGAAAAGCCCCAAACCTGTCATTTACCTATCTAAATATTGGCTTTGCATAATGTTAAATATCCTATGTAACAGTGTGAGGGCTACAAGCCTTACAAACAAACACACATCCTAAAAGGTTATGCTTTTGTTTACATCAGACATACACATTGATTTGAAACGGCTTTATTTTACTAGATTGAGTGCACGCAATCTTGCTTAAAATATCTATTGTTAATTGTGTTGTGTGTAATCCTATTGTCAGTGTTTTACAGCTCACCTTGCTCCTGGCAAAAGGCTGAGCTGATGGAAAACACCTGACTTTATAGATGTGTCAGCTAATTGGACTACGCCATTCCTCTCAAACCCTGAGGGGTGTTTAAAGAGCCCACTCCATTTAAGCCACCCCTTTTTAGAACCTCTTCCCCCTGCATGTGACAATGGACTGGCCAGTAGGGCTATAAGTTCCTGCAGTGTGGAGATGAGAAGGGGGTATGTGAGTTGCTCTTGGGCAGAAGAGCACACAGGATGTCACCCATTTTTGTGATGTTTTGTTTATCCCTTAAATGCTAGATTGTGTCTGGTTTCATCTACACCTTTTTGTTTAAACCACATTGATTTTATTACCCATCCTAAAATTGTACATATATTGGGTTTATAAAATCCTTATTTTTGCACCTCAACCTGCATTCTTGATTTTTGCGTACCCTAGTCCTTCACAAACAGGGGCCTAATTTTAAATAATATCATCAAACATAATGTGTAATAAAAAGTAACCAGGAATGTTAGAATACCTTTCAAATTTGGCCAAAACATCAGCCACAAGAACTCGGCTTTCCACAGCTCTGTCTATATTGTTGTTGTGTTCAAAGAGTGCAAACATGTTTCTGCTGTCCTCCATAGCCAGACCTCGGATTAGCTTCTCCACCACCTGGAAAAAGCAACACAAGATAACAATCATAATCCTCAGTTTGCATTAGTAAAACTCCTTCTTTCGCCAAGCTTAAAAACAACAAATCTTTATCAGAGTTTGTGTAAGGTAATCGCAATGATGTCTTCCAAAAGTAACATTTAAACTAGTCTGTGCAGCAATGACCACAGCTTACCTCTCCAGCACTGGTGTGTGAGTTAATGGAGATCTTGCAGGAGCCTCCTCCGTGGCAGTACACTGTGGTGGTCATTTCCTGTCTGGTAAGCAGTGCCACGATTTCCTCTTGAGAGGGAATAAACTCCCTGTTCTTGGTCTTTTTCAGAGACTCACTAACGAAATGGGAGAACATTTCGATCTCTGTGCCGGGGTACAGCTCCTTAATCCTTTAAAAAACACAAAGACAGTGAAGTCGAGGTGTCACCCCTTTGTCATTTTGACTATAGGATTGTTATGAATCATGGCATAACCAGACATACACTGTACCTTTTGAGGTGAAACTTGAGGTAGCGAAGGATACCTCGGCTGGGCAGGAAGGTGCAGCTCATACAAGTGAGGAGATGCCAGTGGGCGCGATTGGACAGGCTGTTTGGGTGCGGGACGTGATTGGTTTGTTTGATCAGCTGACAGTAAACCTCGTCCCTTAAAGGCCTCAAGTCTTGACAGGTCTGGAGGATTCCTTGGATGATTGGCACGGGGTCGGACACGGCCTCCATCTCCTGCAGTGAGTTGAAAATCTTCACCGCCTCATCCTGCAGGCTGGTATAACCCTTCTCCTTTTGCACTGGGGGAGAGGGACAGGCGGAGGATTTCAATTCAAGCAAGGCAACTACAATTCTTTTTGATAGTAGTAAAATGATATTAGATCACTTTCAGATATTATGGTAAATATTTGCTTTAAAAGGTTTATTTTAGTATATTCAAAAATTAGGTTTAATGGCATAAACATATACATGCATCTATTGAGGTATGTGTCACTGTAACAAGCGAAAAAGATTGGAGTATGCGCTTTGTGTATCGTCAAACAATGTTAATAGAGTATGTGATTCTGTCAGGATTAATAGAAGTCCTGAACAGCTTGCTAACTGCAGGCCACTGAACTCACAGTGGACGCTGACATCTCCATAGGGCAAAGGTAGAAGAGGGGAGTGCAAAGGATGCTGGGTATATCTCAGGATGGGGTTCCTCCAGTATGTCTGCTCCACAGCCTCCACATTCAAACTGCTCTCCTGGACAAACAGAAGACGGGATCTTTAGTCGAGTGGTCATGAATTAACTTCACGACAAAGTAGAGCAATTAAAGTAAACAACCTAATGGAGTTTAGGAAAAATAAGAGAATAGAAATATCACTGATGAGCATTATATTTGCAGTAAACAGTTATGTGGTAGAAAAAGAGGTGAACATTTAAGAAAATCACGGCACACACTCAGTGAGTAGAAGTACCTCACTTTACTACAGTGTGTGTCCCTGCCAAAGGTTTGCATGACTGAACATAATTGGAGTTAAAAAAATATCAATATGTTAAGAGCATGTAGAGCAGAATTACATTTTAAAATATTATTATATGAGACACATTAATCTTGTTGTCAGACATTGCACACAAACAATCAGATATTTGCATGACATTAGTAACAGAGAGAAGCATGCAGAATAATCCTTTAATACCTTGATGTCCCTGATGAGTTGTTGTGTTGGCGTTTCAATGGGAACTTTGCTGTCTATCGCTCCCTGTATGGCATTCGCCCACCGCATGGCTTCATTCAGCATTTTGGTGTAGAGTCGGTAAGAGTGTTTACGCCCATGGATTATTATATTCCAGTAACCTGTGTCAAGAAAACAAAGTCATTAGAAGCCGTACAAAATGTTCACATCTAAAAACGATCAGATACCTTTAAGAGACCAAAGCTTAAACTCAATGTATCAGCATATTTCTGTCGCTCAAGATGACTGAGAATAACGTTGACTCTGAACTGACCAGTGTCCTTGAAGACTTTCTCGTCCGGCTGCACTACGGAGCAGAGGCTGTTGAGCACCAGAGTTCCCAGTTTGGAGGAGGTGCGCTCCGACGACTTGTAATAGTCCAGAGAGGTTGTAGTGAGAACAAACCAGCGCTTCTTCAGCTTCAGAGAAGAGCTTTTTGCTCCTGACTTCATCTCTTTATGTAGCCAGCCTGAGGGAAGATACATCTTGTTGTAAATATTTGTTTAATAATCACTTTTTTTTACCTAATTCATAGCATCTTGTTTTTTTCCGTGCAGGATCTTTTCAACTAAACAGAAGTATCCTACCGCACAATTACAAGAATCAACTCTCACATCCTAAACATCCCAGAGTGTGTCTCAACTGACTGACCTCTGACTAAGAACTCCTGTCCATCAACCCTGCAATCTCCCTTGGATTTCTGCAGCAGGCCGATCCAGTGGTGCATCTCCTCAGCTGTGTCTGTGTTGCAGTGGATGACTCGGTTAGCCGTGATGATCACAAACGAGTTTGGTCTGCAAAACAGAACACATGAACAGTGTTGTTACCCCTGTATATTATATGTACATGCTGCAGTTCCACTAAAACTGCAGTCTGAATATATCCTGTAGTGTTATCGTTGTTCCTTACCTGTCCGGGTTGTCTGATGCACAAACAGAATCAATCAAGCCCACATCTAGTGTGCCCTGGAGAGAAAAGGGGGGCGAACATTTGAATTAGTTGTTTGCAAATTTGGGTCACAAAGGCACATTTCTGACAAACTCTTCGTTTGATACATACTGACCCCTTGATAGAGCAGTTCATAATAATAATCATACTGGTAACTGTATTTCTATGTAATGTGGCTTTCATGTTTCTCTTTCCATTATTTTGTTATCCTGTTGCTTTTAATTTAATTTCTAAATCTGCAAATCCTATTAACACCACTGCAATATTTGATTGACCATACTGTACAAATGGACAATAATAAATCAGTGTGTGTATTTTGCTTCTTCACTTTGAATAACCATATGACCCAAATCTGGACCATCATACTTTGACTGATTCAGTTACACGCCTCATAACGGCTGAAAGATGTTGACTTGAGGCTGGGGCCCAGGCGAGGTGAAGCAGCACTCACCACTGCATTCTTGGGGTTGGCTTGCTCATGGTTCATCTCCAGGAGCTGCTCCGGGCTGGCGCTGTGGACCCGACTCAGCACATTGAACCAACCACTGGATGGGGTCAGAGGGAGTTCAGAAAGTAACAGTCAGCAAACATATAATTGAAAATTACATCGTGAATTTCCTATGGCAACCACAAGGGGGAACTTTATCCCACACATGGATTTAACTGAGAGATTATGACAAAGAAAAACACCACATACAAAACAGATACAGTAAGTACATGATATCTATAGAATCTATGGATATATCATACCTGGCATCTTCTGGGGACTCAGCATAGATGTGGTAGGTCCTCTCGTCAGTCACAATATTCAGTGCATTCTCCTTCTCATGATTGTCCACTATGTCCCTACAGAAACACACACAGTCAGACAAAAACGTATATTGTTCTGTTCTTCTTTGATACATATAATGAAACCTCCAAAATAGGTAAGAAAAGTAAAAAAAAAAAATTTGAATCCCAACATCGGAGGACAGGGTCTTACTTGGCTGTTCGGACATCGATGGTTCCTTTCAGCTTCTCTTCGCTGTCGCTCTCAAAGTACATGAGCTTCGACTCCCGTAGAACAAACCAGCGCATCTTCCAGTTGCGCCGAGACAGGGTGGACATTCCTCCTCCTTTTTTGTAAAGCCAACCGGATTTGAGGGAGTCCTGCTTGGCCCGATACCACATGAAGGTCTCGTCCTTCAGGACACACCAGCGCCGACGCCAGGGGATCATCAGACCACCTGAAGGCGGAGAGGATGTTTATTTATTAATGTTTTATAGGAAATCTCAGTGTTATGGGAGCTGTAAAACCGACACCCATACACAATCATTTAATAGCTAACAAACAGCTAAAGCAGAGAATACAAGTACTGAAACGTAAAGACAAAGTTAAGCAGTAAACAAAGAAAGACTGTTTTTTTAATTGATAAAACAACCAGAAAAACCCTGTGCTAAAATGATGTGTGCCTGCTTGGTAGTGATTTGGTAAAGGTACTCACTCTTCATGTAGAGGTAGCCGTGGAAGTATGGAGGCCCAGTGCCGTTCAGCAGATTCACTCTCCCGTTGGAAACCTCTTCATCTGTGTCCACGAAGCCATCGTTTTCCTCATCGCTGTCAATAAACTGAAAGACATAAAAAGCAGCATTTATGACGAGTGCTGTATTTCAGGGATATACAGTAGCTGCGCGAGCAAAGTGTTTAAGAATTTGGTGATCCACATTTGAATATTAAAACCTGTATAATCTTTTTTTGTTTTCAAGAAAGAACAGGCTTTTATTTTCTTAAGACTACCGTTACTCAAAGTCAGAGTCTTCATTCAGCAATTTCGGTACTGAGACCAGTGCCATAAATCTGTCTGATCTTGTTGTCAATCACACCAGTGCCATAAAACACACACACACACCCTCCTCTCCCTTTGACGTTATTCTGATCTGACAGTTTTATGTCTGAGCTCTCCGCTTGACTTGCAGAATCTGGGAATAGATTCACACGCTCATCAGCAGAGCCAAAACAAATAATTGCAACAGTGTTTCACTGTGATTCTAACATGAGCTCAGCCTTTTGATATGTTAAGGGAGGGTTTAGGCGTGCACACATGCACACTGAATGTTTGAAATGGGGGGGGAAATGTTGACTATTGGGAATGAAGATGTGTGTATGTGATTAATGGCTTAAAGTGGACCTATCATGCTATATTTGAAACATATATTGTAGGGCCATACGTATATAAAACATGTCTGTGAAGTTTTTTTTTCAAAATACCAAACAGATCATGCCATGCCTCATTTCACTCTATTTGCTCTGTTCCAGCCCTGTTTTTGCTGATTCTGCTTTTGTGGCAGACTACAGCGCCACTTACAGGCCTGGCACTACAGCGTCTCCAGCGCTTTCGAGCGGTCTCTCATTCCCCTGATAGGTGGAGAGTTGCCCATATAGGCGGAGCACCCCTTTTCTGACGTCAGAAAAATTCAAATAATAATCATCTCCGTTGCAGCCCCGTTTTTAGAGATTTGTGTATGGAGGAAAAGAGAGAGGGTTGTGTTTTCTGACACTTGGTGAGTTCCCTGACAAACCGGGGACACATATTCATGTATAAAAGACATACAAAAGTGCATTTTGCATGATAGGTCCCCTTTAAGTGATGGCAGAGGATTGAAGGTCCTCTAAAAAGGTAAGAAAATGATGAGTCATTTATTAATTTACTGTCAAACAAAAGT